TTTTTTTTATTAACTTTTTGATGCTTTTTATAATTGTTATTAGTAGTCTTTAGATAGTCATTTTACGACAATTCTCTTTCGTACACAAGAAGAATGTACATAGGGTATATATTTTAATATTTCATTTTCTTAAATCTGTAAATAGTAAAATTTAATAATTATTATATTTATCATTGGGATGAACAAAATTTTTAAATATAAATAAAAAAATTAAAAAAATTAAAAATTATTATTATTATTATTATTAATATACATGTTACTTTTTTAAAATAAGACACTTCTCGAAATATTTTGGCTAGAATGGAATTAGCTAATAGAGATCTTTCACGTAACTCCAACTTGAGCCACTATAGTGCAAAAGTCCACTAAATATGTAAAACTGACGCGAGGTGTTTTCCCGTTGGTAACTTTTCCTTTATTTGCGGCAGGCTTGAATGGAACCATCAAATAAAAGACGAATTGTGTGACAAAAAGCATTTTATCTTCAGCGTTTTCGCTTACAAATACTATCAACTGAAAAAGAAATGAACAAAACGAAATTGGCGGTTCAATATTTCCCATGTTTAGTCCTCGTCGCTATTTATCCAGGATGCGTTCTATTTTACTCATCATTTTCACAGCCTTGCCACGTCTTCATGTGCGCCATGTGGGCCTCTTCCGACGTCTGCTGTCGTTTCCTGGAGCACTTTTTCTTGGGTCTGCTTTGGCTCAGGCGGTGAGGGGTTGGCTTCCCCTGGGAGATCGGCATTGGCATCGGTGCCTGAACTACATGTATCTTCGTTCAGACATGCTACCTAGCTCAATTTTGCTGATTTTTGCTCTTCTGGTGACCTCTTTGCGTATCGTATCCTGTTATGCACAACAGTCTGTGACATCGCCGTCTTGCTTGTACTTGTCGTGGCAGTCAGCTGTTTAGAGGTTTTGGGAAACAATTCGTGTGATCCTTATTATCGATGATTCTCTTGGGGTAGAACCCTAGTATACCCTGATGCTTTCGTTCTCCATAGTAAAATTTCCAGCCAGTCAGTGTTTGATGATGTATGATGACCGATATTTATATATGGAAACACGCGTCAGTTGTATGTCTCTGTAACAAATAATTTGCAGATGAAGCAAAATAAAAATCTTTCCAAAAATTAAATTCTTTCGATCCTTCAGTCTTAAAAATAATATCCACGTATGCGAGATCCCGTTGACTTTTCCAAAAAATGTGAGGGGGAAAACTGGGAAATGTCTGCATCTTAAAGCGTTTTCAAAGAAGTGCATTTTCTGTCTGTATCCGTTGTATTCTATTTTAGACTCGCTGGCTTCACTGTCCCATAAATGCCGGGAGGCCACTTAGGGACTACCAGACAAAGAAAAAAAAAGCTTGCCAGTGCGTTGAAAAGATCATGTACATATTTTGTGGATCTTACCACAGGTAACCCAGGCTCTGTGATAGTACCACAGTACGGTTCCAGTAAAATTACAGTGTTTATAGTGGGTAAAAATACCATCCTAAAATTTCTAGGAAATACTAAATAAAGATCAATGAAACTTACTCTGCAGTTAATTGTTGTTTTCCTTGTTGCTCCAACGAAGTTTCGTGATAATTTGCAGTAATTTGTTCAAAATCACTCTATATACAATAATAATATACAAGGTAGGGAACACGAGATGCCATTTTCGCCGTCATGCTCTCATTGAACACAACTTTTTCCACGAAATTCGAACTCCAACGGAAAGTAAACATGCCAGGATCGTAGAAATAGGATAGCAGCAGATATAGAAACCAATGAAGCTTTCCCAGAAAGAGAAACGAATCCCGCAGACTTTGACAAACTCGAAGGATATAATCCAAACAGACCGAGATTGTGCTCGCCGAAGCAGCTTGGCCAGATCAACGCGCGGCCAAGAAAATGAGGCCTGGGCACTGTACAAAAAAAATCCTTGTATATAGAGTGAATTTGAACAAATTACTGCAGATTTATCACGAAACTTCGTTGGAGCAATAATTGGACAACAACAATTAACTGCAGGGTAAGTTTCATTGATCTTTATTTAGTATTTCCTAGAAATTTTAGGATGGTATTTTTACCCACTACAAACACTGTAATTTTACTGGAACCGTACTGTGGGACTATCACAGAGTCTGGGTCACCTGTGATCTTTCTACGTAAGTGACTCATTAGCATATAGTGTTGGAGTTATGTAAAAGATCTCTATTAGTAAGCGAGCTCACATGCAGCGGGCGGCCTGTTACGAGAAATGGTTTAACGTAATTACATTCTTATGAGACGTAAATAAGTTACTATATTATTGTAGTTGTTATTATGATATTCTTGTCTTTTTATTCATTTACTTATTATTTTGGGGAGTTTTAACACAGGTATAACCTCATAACTTGCCTTTCAATAAGTCCCTTTTTTTACTTTTAAACCTTGTATATATTTCAATGCACCTTGAATAAATTATGTTTGTATGTATAGAGTTTTATAGCCCAGCCTCGTTTTCATGATTCAGGGTCGCATGACTACCAAGAACAGCAAATAAGGTCAGTGAGGTCTATTCAGCTGATAATTCCCACGGGAATTTTTCTATTCGTAACACATGGTAATATTTTTGCTCCAATGTTATTTTATTATTTTATATTCTTTTTATTATTGTATATAACGACAGAATAGACCCGTATAGAGGAGTCTATGTGTATGTAAAGAATTAGGCGTCATTACATTTTCGTAAACTTTAAATATCCGTTGGAACTGCAGATGTAAATATATTTTCTATGCTGTAAAAATCTCTCGTACGGCCAATTTTAGAATACGCAGCACCAGTCTGGAGCCCTTATCTAGCGAAGGACATCCCTCTACTTGAATTGGAGAAGAGAGTCGAGAATGGCCATAAACCAACGTAAAGGAGAGATGTCTTACAAAGAGCGATGCCCGCGGCTTAAGTGGCCTTCTTTAATTCATCTGATCGTAAAACTTATTTATCTTTAGTGGACTGTTACAAGATTGTCTTTGGTTATTATCATCTTAACTTTGAAGATTTTTTGAATTGGCTACTACTTAAAGGGGAACTCCGGAAGAAAAATGACCTTTTTCTTAATGATTTTCCTACATTTGTTGTTTCAATTTTTGACTTCTAAGTTAAGTGATTGTTCGTTAGAACGAAGATATATTTTACCCTAAAGCGGAGTCAAAAATGCAAATAGCATTCCGCCATCTTGAAAATTGTTTGCCTGCTCAGAAATGGGTCAGCGTTTTCATTTATGACGTCAGAACGTTAAGCGTAATCCGATATTTACTCGCCTTCCAGTTGTGTACAACATTTTGCATCGTCTGCTTTGGGAGTTTTTCTTACTTTTATCACTCTTATAATGTCGAATTCTGGGTCAGAATCCGAGTTCTCCGACGAAGAACAAGGAGCTCAAACGTTTTCTATCCAGCCGTATCAGTTTGAACCGCGGGTAAACACGGATGAGAGGGATATCAACGCTGAAAGTCTTTCAGGCGACGAGTCCATGGAAGGCTGCGAAGAATTGAATCCAAGACTGGAAAATTCCGACTGGTATGTGCTGTGCTGTTTGCTTCATTGTAATTCTTTTACCGATGTGCGAAATAAACTTCTGTGTGGCCCAGATGTCGTGTTCGTAATTGTTTCTTTTTTGTTTGTTTTTTTCGTTTTGAGAGTCTTGAGTACGTAAAAATTTCATTATCGAGCGGCCGACAAATTGCTTAGTGTTCCTAGTTTACAATATGTCTTGCGAATTAGGTGCTGTGAACGTGAAAGCTGCTAAAAACCTAGCATAAATTCCCTCCTCCCCCCGCAGCTGGACTTTTCAAGTAGAAGGGAAGGATTTTGCACAATTTTCTTGGCGCTTCGCTGTCTTTTATATAAGCTAACACTAGCACGGGTGCAAACAAAAAGAATTATATTTTTGTAAATGTTGATCTTCACTACACATAGGTTCTTTAAATCAACAGGCCTGCCGTTGGTCCTGCCTAACCTATTTCAGGAGAGAATTTTATTTACATGTTTAACTATCTAAATTTGCCAGTGTCTTCACTTTCTTTACTAGCTTGTATAAACAGTTTTGTTCAACTCAAACAAAATTAATCTGCTTCAGCATATTTTATCTACATATCACAAAAAAAGTTAGTAACATCTAAATCTTACGAAACCTTACATTGTTGTCTTAAATCAGCTCTCAATTGCTGGTGTTTATCCAGCTTCTTAACCTGTACCTCATGTTAAATGTAGAACAATGCAGTTTTTGTTTCCCATCTATGATTTAGGTGCTCATGTGATAATTGCCAGACTATGGGGAGAGCGGAGGCATGCGTATGCTGCCAAGAAATAGAGCAGGTTAAAAATGAGCTTAATGAAGCAGTTACTAGTGGTGAATGTGAGGAAGAGCCAACATGCATCACGCAGCATCCAGGGTTCCATCCAGTGTGTATAAATAGATGGGTCCTGGAGACTGCATGGTATCAATATAAGCAACAATACAAAGAATCTTTTGATGGTCCTGAAGACAAACTCTACAGGCACATAGCATACAGACAATTGGCCCGATGGTGCTGGGGAATCCTGGGCAAGGAAATTAGTGTTGTGCTTCCTTCATGTGCTGTAATGTGTATTAGGAACTTCTTTCCTCCATCTGGGCCTGAGGAGGAGTTTGTCTTTACAGGGTTTAAATATGCAGACGAGTGACATGACTTAAAAGTGACATCAGGCTGCCAGTGTAAATGAGAAACTGTAAGCCACTTATGATGCATAATATACAGCTATAAAGAGGATATTACAAATAATTTGCTTACATTTTGTGAGCTGAATTTTTAAGCTTTTAGGTTCTGTATTCTCATTTTACACTATGATATGTTGAAAAGTCCTATACACATGCATCCATGTACATACCGGTATGTCTACATAGGTTATGAAAATGCAAAACTCCTTGAGAACATCAAAAACATGGTGTGAATTAGGAAAACAAAACATGCTAGCTAAAAAGGTCTATTCCTCATTATTTGCAGTCAAAAAACCTCACAAGTGGTGAACTGTTCTTGTCATGTGAGTTTCAGTTTTTTACACGTAATTGGAATAAAAAGACGTGGTGGTATTTGAGTTTCTTATTGTCAAGGTTGGAAAAAATTTCAGTGTTACTCTGATTGACTGTTACAAATAGGAAACCCCCAGGAAATGTGTCAAAGGCTCACTATTGTTAAGTCATCTATTAAATCTTGAACGATGTTGGCGTATTGCATCTGATTTACTAGGTGCTGGTTCTGAGGCAATGTTACTTGGTAGGTGTGGATGAAGTGGCTGTGCAGCTGCATTCCCCTGCTCAACACGACTGAGCACCTCTGAAAGTAGGTCTGACAAGAACTGATATGACTTCTTCTCATTAATTGGTTTGACAACCCATCTTTTATTTGCTTTTGGGAAGCAAAGCTTGTATCGTGCCTCACCTGCCCGTTCACCTGACTTTATCACAGCTTGACTACGGCCAGTGTTAGCATTGTTGTCTAGAGCGGCTAGCTGGGTCCTAGCTACCATGCCCTGGTAAGAATAATGCTCGTGTTTGGAGGCATACTTCAGCATCATTGAATGGTACACCTCAATTTTACCAGTGTGACAGAAGTCAGTTAGTTTAGCCAGATCTTTAAGAAGCTTTTTATTCAGTACCACTTCCTCTAAAGCTATGTGAGCTTGTGAGCCTGGCTTAAGCCAACAAATTTGCTTAGCTTCAGAGGAAGAGATACGTCGGTGGCAACACTGATGGAAGAGCGTGTTGCCTGACCACTTGTGCTTGTTTGCTACATGATCTAAAACAGACTTCCACTTTTCACGCAGAAGCTGCACATTCCCATCGCAGGTTGCCGCGCACCACCAAAGGTGATTGGAAATGGATTGTATCCATGGGGCCAGTTCCTCAGAACCCTTTTGTTTGGCTTTGTTTGTAAGTTTTTTGACCACCCACTTGGAGAGATGCCAAACATCATACTGGTGGTTGATGTGTGGGAAGTCCTTCTTCATGCTGCTGCTGATGGAAACATGGCGGTCTGTAACAATCCTGTTAATCATGATCCCCTTTTCCTCCAAGTCTTGAAGGCAGCGAGAAAAGCCCTCTTTCTCCATGGCATTTGATGAGCTGACTTCTGAGACCTGGACAACATTGAATACAACCACATCTCCAGAGTCCTCATCCATGAAAGTGTAGGTGCCATATTTGGCACTGTGGCCAGGACTGTCACACCTGCCATCACCATCGAGATTTACAACTTCCTTGGAAGTGAGTCTGTCTACCTGCCGTTGACTCTCTGCTTCCCATGCCTCATTCACCACAGGGAACAGGTATTTACGCTGGGTGTCATAAAAGACACTTTCGCTGAAAAATTACAGGTTAAAACATGATGCCAGACGACTTATGGCAGCAAAGTTACCTGTAAAAAGAATGGATGCTGCCAGTAATAAATTTCCTAGAGGTTTCCTTTTTACCACAAGTTGTGACTCCCATGTCATTTTACACCCACTCTGGCACACAAGCTTTATAGATAACATGCTGCCAACAGTTTTCCTCTTCTGTTCAATGACAACATCACCGCATTTCTGGCATCTTTTAAATAAATTATTTAGATTTGAATTAAAGACTAAAAATTTTTTTTCATTGCCGGGATTTTCAGGGAACTCATCTTCTGATTCTTCATCATCATCATCATCATCTTCATCAGCATCGCCATAGTGTTTTCCTTGAGGGGGAAATTTCCAGTAGGGATCTAGGTCCTCATCATCAACTTCATCATCTGTGTCACTGACATGACCATCAACGTTGTCATCATCATTTTCCCGCCCTGGGTCTTCTTTGTGCAATTGAGTGAAAGGGGTGGTGCTAAAAAAGTTATCATCATAAGTAGGAAACACTGAGGGACATGCTGGCAAAGAATAAGTGTGATCCTTCAAAACCTTCCGTTGTACAGCATCTACATATGGTGGGACAAACATGTAGGGCTCGTTTTGTATAGGGGTGGGGGTAACATTAGCTTTGCCCTTTTTTTGTTTGGAATCCTCAGTTTGAACTGCTACACTTCTTAAGGTAGCAGGCTGACAGCAACACTGAATGCCAATGTCATGCACTCTTAGTTCTGAGGAGCCTGTTTCTTCATTATTATCAAACTGGTCTTGATCTGAAGAGTCTTCCAAGACATCCTCTGAAGAAGAGCTTGACTCATCGTCACAGTCTGGGAAGTCAGCAGCTAAAAGTTCTTCCACAGCCTGATGGGATAAAGTTCAATACTTAACAGTATTTTCTACAAATATTTTTGGAATGTTCAATTGTCTGTTTTTATCGTAATGTCGAAATAATGAAAGTGAAATTACAGATTCGACATACAAAACTGAGGGCGAGGGTGAATTGAAGGATCTAACTTGAGGTAAGCACTAGGGAAAATGAGAGAAAAAAACATTTCTTATTAACATCTGTAACAGGCGGCGATTTTTAGTACACGTTGTATCTGCTACGTGGCACAGTCGACTGGATAAAAGTCTCTTGATGTGAGGTGACATTCAATTTCCCATAAGGTCATACAAGTTTTGAATTTTTTTTACAAGCTTAGCTTTAGCAGCTTGATAGGATTGGAGTCCTAAAATTTAAACCTATTTCACTCTGGTTTAGGTGTACAAACTCTCTTTTTACTTGCAAATGCCGTTGAATTAATTCTGCCTTATAGTGTTTTAAACCGAACTTGTCAGTTTCTCACTGAGTTCTAGATATGCTAGAAGCAAAACAGGAGCGTGAACTCTCAGAGGTCATCTAATTCGAACTGGACTGCAATCTCGTAGCGTCCGCCAAGCAGGCAAATCGAACAAGACAAGATTTTTGCAAAATAAAACAGGATGATAAATATTTGCATGAGTGACAGTACTAACCTGTTTATGGTTTCGTTTCTGAAGGCGGCTTTCAGATGACAATCGCGCTTTTTTGGCTTCCGGACCATATTTAAACAGAGACGGTATAGCGTCATCCCTTAAATGTTTTCGAACCTTTTCGCCCATTAGTTGTGCACGGAAATCGATCTCAAAACAACTGGGCAAGAAGTGCTTTCTCCTTTGCTTAATACAAACGGTCAAAAAAGGTTGAACTGGAAGCCACGGACACAATGCAAAGGGACGAAATAGAAAGACGTTCTGCCCTCGTTGTTCTAATATACAAATCTCCCGCGAACCCTCCGCCAACCAACCGCGAACCATTGACGTTCTTACGTCACAACGCACTGTTGACCATTGTAACGCGGCTCGTATTCTTCCCAAGATGGCGGAATACTAGGACGGCTTTTCGGCCAGCTTTTAAGTAAAAGATTTACTTAGCGGTAGGAGTACGGTAAGAAAGTTTATTAAAAACTGAAAGTTTAGATATAGGACTACTATTCTAAATAAGTTCGTTTTTATCCCGGAGTTCCCCTTTAATCTACAACCGCAAGTCATTCTTATAAACTTTATGTCAAAACAACAAGGTAATTCAGCAGATAAATCCCACGGGAGTACACTTCCCGGTGATTATCTCGCGTGGCCTTGGGGATGCGCGGACGTGTATGTAGTTTTAAGTTAAATTCTTAGAAGTTGATACCAATTCATTTGTTAAATGGGGGATAAAGTGAAAACACGCCGAAAGGAGAACGATAAGTTCCGAGACCGGATTAAAAGGCTGTCAAAGCATTTTGCAAATTTCAAAGACAAGATGGCGTGTGAACCACCAAATGAACAAGGTGTCCGATTCTTGAGCGACGGCGATGATGACTTAGTAAAGTCAGGCAAAGGTATGGCTGAGGAATTAAGAAATTAGAATGCACACTGAACGCTATCGAGTCCCGTCTCACCAACATTGCCAAAGTACATTGTAGAAATAACCGGGGCTCCACAGGCAAGTGATAGGGAAACCACTCAGGTTCAATCGTTAATGTGTATAAATGAAAGTATGCATTGATACCGGCTTTTCCCAATTCGTTTTTTTTTTGTTTGTTTGTTTGTTTGTTTGTTTTTTAACTGTAAATCCAGTATATACCGTAAATTCTTTGTTTTCAAGCATTGTATACAAATTCTATCTTTTCTTCCTTTCGTTAGGTACATAAAATGATAAAATTGTTCCATACGCGTAACTGAGATAAGCGGAGTCGGCGTAGACGTTAAGAAGGCAAGGAACTTCCTGGTCCTGCTGAAAATCTTTGAGCGTAAGTTTCACCATTTTACCATTGGCTGGAAATCCTGAGAGTATGCAGAGCTAATAATTAACAAAATTGACGAGTACTTTTTCAATTGTCACGGCTATCCAAATTCTACGTTCTAGAGGCCCCGTGGGACTTAAATTTAGTTTTGTTGAACACTTTACAAATTACTAGTTAAGAGTGGGGATATATTACACTGATTAGTCGACCTTCTCTTTCCTAAGGGAGATATCCATTTTCTATTTCCATATAGAATTTCTATGATTTTTTTCTGTGCAAAAACCTTAATAATCCTTATCCTTCCTAAAAAGGACGACAAATGCTCAATGTTAACCGTTATTAAAGTTTTCCCTTTTCTTAGAAAGTTGTAGAAATCGAATTAAATCAAATAATTAGTTGCTTGCCGTTGCATGTAGTTGAAATTCCACTCCATAGGCCACTGTTTAGACACCTTCTTGTCCCTGAACCACTGATCTCATAACTGTTCTTGCATCT